TCCGAGCTAACGCTCAAATCTATACATACAGCTTCAGTGTAAATCCCCTCTGTCCTGAGTTCAAATTCATTTGGGTTGAATTAACACACAAGGCGTGGACAGACACATGTTGTCGTCTATCTTTATAGATATAGATATATATAGGCGCACAACCAATGGCCACTTGTTTATCAGCTTCGACGTAAATCCTGTCCTGAGTTTGAATATATCTGGGTTGAATTAACACATTTAAGGTGGACAGTCAGGTGTTGTCGTCTATCTTTTAACATACATACATACATAGACATTTAAAAACATCTCATTTCCGACACAACTCTTATTTATTTATATATCCAACACACAAAACTTTTATATTCATATACATAACTCTCAAATAAGAGAAGAGTACAGGAAGCCATATGTATTACTATTCCAAACAGCTAACAGGAAGTAAGCAATGCATTGGCAATAAAAATCATATAATGGAAGAAGTTTGTACAAATTTCCCATATGACTCGGGCAATCAAGACTTCCTATTTCAGCTATCCTCTAACTATATTTTATTATATCAATATAGGTATAAATGCAATATGCAGGAAAAATGCAAGCATTTACATAATTTACCAAAGAATCTAATGTACTTTAGCTTGCTCCTCTTCCCTCGCCGTATGCCAGAATATGTCCTTGAGGCCGACTGAGATGTTATTGTAGAACTGGAGAGAATGAAATCAGGAGCAATAAATGTAAGTCAAAATATATATACATATATATATATACTGAAATTGCATTTCAGTTTGTATGAGTTTTTGATCCCAAACCTTGTGAAATTCTAGGGTGTCGCCATTGGCCTTGCGAAGCTCCACCATGTTTAGGGAAGGTGCAACTTCAAAAACCTTTAAAAATGAGAGTAGGATGCATTAATCTCTCTCAAATTTGTGTTATTTTGCAGTGAGATATATCGTTTAAATATAGAGAGGGAATACCTCGGTGGCGATGGCTAGAGGACCTTTTCTTCCGCATTTTTCGCCTTGCAGCTTTAGCTGTGACGAGAAAAATGGGAACAATATGTGAAATTTAGTAAAGAATTACCGTTTTGTATCAAGATGGGACAAATTTTATAAGCATGTCCATGGAATCACGAGATAATTGCTTGTTCTCCTATGATTTCATGCAGTCCAGTTATTTCTCATAAGGCTGTCTAAAATACTTGTTGTTCGCGAACAACTCTTGTTCAGTTTGTTAAATAGTTAATGTTTGAATGGTTCGTTAAGTAAACAAACCAAACACGAGCAAATTTTTTAAGCTCAAAATATAATCGAGTCAAACACAAACAACCCTTTGTTCAATGTGTTTGATTAGTTATAGGTTGAAATAAAAAAAAATTATATATATTATTTATATAATAATATATAATATATAATTATATCTAAGTTTAAATTATAATAGTTTTTGCGGTCATGTGGTTCTGCGTCTTTTAGTGCACAAAATTGATGCATATTCGAATCCAACACCCTACATCTATTTTTTCTAATTAATTTTAACGAGTCAATTTCAAGTTAAACACGAACCGAACAACAACAAACAACAACAACAACAAAGCCTTAATACAAGTTCGAATACAACACCCTACATATATTTTTTCTAATTAATTTTAACGAGCCAATTTAGAGTTAAACACGAACCGAACATAAACAATAATATGTAAATTGTGCCAAACACAAACATATTGTTCACAAACAATTTCAAAAATGAGTCAATTTCAAACGAACCGAACACGAGCGAAGCCTGAGCTCACTCAAGCTAGGCTCATTTACAACTCTAATTTCTCATATAATTTAGTCATGCCTGTAGTTGTACTCATCTTCTATGCCATAGATATTCAAAAATTCATCCAAAAATAACACAAGCAATAATATGTAAATATTATTGTTTGACCAAAAGGATTGTGTCAAACACAAACATACTGTTCACAAGCAATTTCAAAAATGAGTCAATTTCGAACGAACCGAACACGAGCGAAGCCTGAGCTCGCTCAAGCTAGGCTCATTTACAACTCTAATTTCTCATATAATTTAGTCATGCCTGTAGTTGTACTCATCTTCTATGCCATAGATATTCAAAAATTCATCCAAAAATTCTATGTAATCTTGTAGACATTCAAATAGTTTCTTCAGCATATTTCATCTTTTTTCTTTTTGTTTGTTTTCTTCTTTTTTTGGGAAGATTTGCATACATGCCATTCAATTCTTATGTATTCACTTATATGGCTCCTAAACTTTAAATTTTACATAAGACTATACCTAAGCATGAAAAAGTGTATTTCACTTTTCAAAAATTAAAATGGTGGTATTAGATGTGTTATGAACGATTTGGGTGATATAAATATAAAAATTACAGTTTAGGCGGTAGATATGCAAATTCATAAGAATCGGGGGGGGCGTATGAAGAAGATTTGCATACATGCCATTCAATTCTTATGTATTCACTTATATAGCTCCTAAACTTTAAATTTTACATAAAACTATACCTAAGCATTAAAAAGTGTATTGCACTTTTCAAAAATTAAAATGGTGGTATTTTAGATGTGTTATGAATGATTTGGGTGATATAAATATAAAAATTACAGTTTAGGCGGTAGATATGCAAATTCATAAGAATCGGGTGGTGCGTATGAAAATGTCCCCTTTTTTGTCATGACAATTATTTGGAATGTTTAACAGTTTAATTTCTTGCTTAAGAATTAAGCTATATTTATCATTTAAATTTAGACGTATTATCTAATAGCTTAGTTGCATTAAAAAGATAACAACTGAAATTAACAAACTAATATAGTAAAAAAAGGCCTTATTCTGATATAAAATTTATCAGGTATCCTGATTTTTTTTTTTTTTTCTTCTGTCAGCACATTGAATTGTATTTGAGGTAGAAATGGAAAACTTTCATCAAATGTGAAATTTAAGGCTCAAATAAAAGAAAGAAAGAAAGAAAGAAAGAAAGAACAACATGTATCATACCTTATACTTGCGCTTCTCAATGTTAAATCCCAATGGCTTGGCGGCTTCCTCGATTTTGGAAAGTATTTCTGCAGCAGGTGCTTTTGAAGCGAATCTCGTCTCCTTTTTAACAATACCCTGTCATGAAAATAATAGAACTACTAAAATAATGATGAGTAGTTAGAGAAGCTAAAAGGCCCCCAAAAATACAGAAGACTAAAAACAAATTTACATAAAGTATGAATTCTTTATGGAATAATGCTCCAGTCCCCAACTATCACAACATTTACATAAATAACATGCAACCTACCTATGATTCATTGTTAAACCACATCAAATTCCTCTTTGTCCACATATCCAATAAAAATTATTTCACCAAAACAAAATCTTACAACTAAAAAAAGATACATTGTCCAAAAGATTAAAGATTTCACATTAAAAAAAAAATGAAGTATTTCACCAGAATTCTAATTTGTATGTCAAATCTTTTCAAGGGAAAACATTGTATTTTTTAGCGAAGGGCCAATTACATGCATAGCACCCGAAACATTGCAATTTACAAATCTAGCCCCTATAAACGATTATAATGATACTCTAATAATCAAAATTTCATCATCAAACTAAAGCGAGATTTTGAACATAAACTTCTGAGTTCTGCCGGTTCAAGAAATAAACTCACCATGGGCTTCTCAAATAAGGTGCCAAGATTCAGACCCTGAGAAGTAGAAATAAGCTCAAACGCATTCATCAGAGCAGGTCTTTCTTCCCTGTGCTCAACAACAAGATTTTGCGGCTCCTGTACATCGAAGAAAGACTGATCACTCGTACAATCTAATAATATACGCTGAAAATATGCAGGACGAAAGTAAAATTTCACTCACGTCCGATTCATTGAATATTGCATTTACGTCATCGAGGCTGGTATCTGCTGCTTCAAAACTTGGCGGCTGGTATCCTTTCTTAAACCATTCGCTTTCTACGACTTCCGCAATAGTTATTCTCTGCAAAGAAACAAATTTAATACGAATAATTATACTTCGAAATTTTGTTTAACGTGAAATAATGGCCAACGAAGGTTCTCAGAAGGCCTACAGTTTGGGGATTTGGATCTAAAATTCTTTTGATGAGCTTCTTTGCACTGGTAGAGAACCAAGTAGGACAAGTGAAGTCTGCTTTGAAGATCTGCAAGAAACTCAACATGCCGCTTGAAGTTAGAAATTAGAAATAAGGACGATTTGCATTCATACCGCTCATTGTTATGTATTTACATGTCTAACACCTAAACTTTAATTTTTGCATACAAGCCACTTTACCTATGCATTAAAAGGTGCATCTCACTTTTTAAAAGTTAAAATGCCGACATTTTTAAGTAATATGAAAGATTTGGATGGTATAAATGTAAAAAAGTAAAGTTTAGGTGTTAGACATATAAATAAATAGGAATTGATATAAATACATATGAATTCGGTGGTATGTACATAAATGCGCCTAACATTTATCATGTTTTGGCATTTTTGTATAGGGACATCAGGTTAGAATCTTCAAAAGGTAAATAACCCGCCATGAGGACAAAAAGTATCACGCCACACGACCAAAGATCTGCCTTGGCTCCATCATAGCCCTTGTTGTTAATCACCTATATGTTCAAAATCTAATGTTTGATATGAACAGAAGAAAACTAAATAATTCAACACAAAAAACTATGTTTTAGGGCAGAATCTTTGAGCAAAACATACCTCTGGAGCCACATAGTTTGGCGTTCCGCATGTTGTGTGCAACAGGCCATCCTCCTAATGGTAACAAGAAAGATAAGTGTCCATATACCATTTAAAAATGAAAATCAAAGCCATTATATTATAAATAAGAAGGCTTATCCCTACAAAACACCAGGGGTCGTTTCGGATCATTTTTAATTTTCCCTTTGATTTTGTTTTGTTTTTGTTTTGATTTGATTTAAAACTTATTTGGTCGAGTTAATTATTTTTAAAACACTCAAATCAATTTTTAGGAGTTTTCACTATTTTTAAAAACAAATTGATTTGTTTGAAAAACAAAAACAGAAAATAAAAATGATGTCAAAAGGCCCCAACAATTCAATTAACTCTACAAAACCAGCTTTAAAAAAACAGTCAGCTTACTCGAACTTGCTGAGGTAGGGCACTTAGTCCGAAATCTGAGACTTTGAGAACCCCATTAGAATCTAGCAACAGATTCTCTGGCTGCCAAAGTTAACAGCTTTAAATAAATACAAGCATTATTTTAAGTTAATAAGTACATTTAATGGACAAAGATAGCATAAATGAGCTAAATTTATTGAACACTAAAATAACTGGTCACCTTTAGGTCTCTATGAAAAACACCCCTGCTGTGACAATAGTCTACAGCGTTGATTAGCTGTTGAAAATACTTCCTTGCTTCATCCTCCTTCATCCTTCCACGGCTTGCCTAAGGAAATTAAAAAAAAAAAGAAGGATTGAGATGTGGAGAATTGAACATTTATATTCTTCGATGATGCAATGAAACTTTATAAAATTCGAATCATAGCATGCAGGGTAGCAACATACAATTTTATCAAAAAGTTCACCGCCCGTCACAAATTCTAAAACGATATATATCTTTGCCTTGCTTGCCATCACCTACATTTCATCACTTTAGCAATTAGGATCAGCATATCAGACTACTAAAACCTATCAAATTTGTGTGATATGAAAGATTTGGGTGGTATAAATATAAAAAGTAAAGTTTATATGTTAGATATGTAAATGCATTAGAATTGGTTAGTATGAATGTAAATGCCCCCAAATAAAAACTAGTTGCAGATTGATACACTAGAACTAAGAATTGAAATCTTTTAAAACATAAAAAAAGAATGGATAATCTCTCAGAGGAAAAAACCAAGTGATTCTGCATAAAACTCAAAAATGAACTAGAAAACATAAACCAACGAAGTAGATATGAAAATTCGTGTGGTACCTCATACATGCGTATAACATTGGGGTGCTTGATCAGCTTCATTGTTGAAATCTCACGTTTGATCTACAAGTTATAAACATTAAAAACTTATCACACCATGAATTCACCAAAGAAAATCTCAAAATAATTTCATAAATGCCCAACAAATAGTTTAAGAGTAGGTTCAGGATAGAGGCATATATTAACAGTCTTCAAAAGAAGCCATTAATTGTACTCAAATTTTGATTGATTTTACATATGCTATAGCTTTATAAAAGCTGAGACCCACCTTAACTAAAATTTAATCAAGAAAGGAAATTTACAAACATACCACAGAATTCTTATGTATTTACAAATCTAACACATAAATTTTGATGTTTACACTTATAGCACCTTGGTTCCATAAACCTATGCATGAAAAGGTGAAAATTACTTTTAAGAAGGTGGTGATGGTGGAATTTTTTATATGGTGTTATGGATTTGAGTGGTATTCATGTAAATATGAACGTAAAGGTGTTATGTAAATATATAAGAACCATGTGGCATGTACATAAATGCCCCATCAAGAAACATTATGTGCAAACATCTAGTAAAAACATGTTTTTTAAAGAGTTCATCTTCAACTTCCCCATCATCACAATGTCTAAAAAAGAGTCATTGAATTCATATTTTCAACCTGTTAGTTAAATCAACGGGCTTCATACAAACAAAAGCAAAAGATGCATATCAACGGAATCATTCCCATAAATGAAACTTCTAAGAGCAAAAAAATGAAGGTTTTCTTTGTTTTGAAGAAATTACTCATTAGGGATACAATGAAATGATAGAGAATTATTTTGTCTTATTGTTCAATTAAAGATACATTGGGTGTTTGGCTGCAACTAGGATTTACCTTTAATAGGATTTAGTAAATCCGGATTTATCAAATCCATATACTATTAAATCCAAAATAGTGTTTGGTATTTTATTTCAAGTTCTTATGGCCATGACATCTTCCTAAGTTAAATCTCTTAAATCCACTAAATAGTTGGATTTAACAAAACAGCATTTACATGCAGAATAAACGGAAGACGGTGTTTGGCTACAACTGAATTTAATTTAAACTGGATTTATCAAATCCTGTAAATCCTACAGTTTGTGCGATGGAGATGAGCTCACGAGGGATGACAGAAAAAATTCTTAAATTCATCTCACAAACATCCTAAAAGAGATGGAATACGGGAAGGAAAGAAATAACATGAAAAAAATTAAACTTATCAGTGTTGGATTAAATTTTCATTTTTTTTTTATTTGGCAAGATTCACACTAAATTTATGGCTAAATCCTATTTAAATATACTTCCAAACACCGGCAAAGGGAAAGAAAAATGAATTTAATGGGAGGCCTGATTTAATTTTCCGTTTTTTCAAGTTTGGCTGGATTTACTTTAAATCAACCAAAATTATATTAAATTATGCTACCAAACACCTTACTGAAAAAAAAATAATAATAATAATTTTGTTGGCTTATACATAATTTAAAATTGAGATTCAAGTGGGAGAACGTCGCCGGATTAGAGTGATAACTTTGTTTTCTTCCCCGGTTTCACTAAGCCGGTAAAAAAATATCCATTAGACCACAAATCTAAGAAAAATCTAATAACCTAAAGATTACATCAGAAATAAACAAACAGTATAAAATCGTGAAGTAAAACGAACTTGTAATCCAATCGACCAACATGATTTTAATAAATTCCATGAATCATTCATCTTGATCAACGAAAAACATTAATCAAGCAAAAGCGCCAAGAAAATTTAAGGTAGAAAGAAAGATTGAAATCTTAAAATTCAATAAATACCTGGCCGATCATCTTGTGCCGTAGAACGTTCTCCTTATTAAGAATCTTGATGGCCACGTTCTCACCCGTCTCCACATTCCGTGCGAATTTGACCTTCGCAAAAGATCCCTCTCCAAGCATTCTCCCCAACTCATACCTCCCCACCCTAATCTTCCCGGCCGATCCCATCTTCCGCCCTCCGATCTAAATAAACAGCACGCAATCAAACACCTCTTACTGTTTCAGAGCAGAAACGTTACCTTCCCTCAACACATTCATTCCACTTCGGCCCTGAAACCCCTGGCAGAGCAGATCTAGAGAGGATCAAAAACAACGCTCACGACTGTGAAACAGGACAGCCAAGCACGGAATGGCGACGTCGGAAAGAGTAGAGTTCCGCAGCTGGTTCTCCAAGCCATTCTTCAACCTTGACAACAAACAAGCAGGTTAGGGTTCAGACTCTCTCTCTCAAGGATTCTTCTCAGAGGGCCTACCTCCCTCTCTCTCTAATGGAGATTTCTCGAGAACGAAGAAACGAAAAGCCGGAGAGTGCGAAGATATCAAGCGGGTGTAACTGCCCCGCCGTATATATAGGAGTTCGGGAGGCCACGTGTCCAATTTGTGTAGGGCCCACTGGGACTGCCGTTTAAATTGGGCAGTCCCGAGTCTCTCCTCGGCCGGACGGCATTTCCGTCATTTTGCATTTTGTGTTCTTTTTTTTTTTTTTAATATTTTAAACATTTTTATGTCATTCTAAACATTATCTAAATGTATGGGACGTCTCCTCGAAGCGACGTGTTGTATGACCTGAATACAGTAAAAATTGTGCAAGGGTTGCTACACCGGCGCCCGAGTAAAGTGAGTTTTCACATTACAGATGGATGCAGGTAAAGAAACTAATGAACTAATATTATGATAAAATATTGGAATATATGTACTCTTAAAGATAAATTATTAGAATTAGTTGATATTATGATGTGTATAAAGATTAATATCTTATGTATTCAAGAAGCTAAATGTGATGGAAAAAAAACTAAGGAGTTTGATAACTTAGGTTTTTAACTTTGGTATTCTAGGAAAAGTCGCACTAGAAATGATGTAGATGTAATTATAGATAAGAGTTTGAAAGATAATGTTGTAAAAATTAATAAAGTTAGAGATAAAAGAGATAGAATTACAACACTTAAGATTATTATTGATACTAAAAATTTTAATAATATAAGTGGTTATGCTTCTCAAGTAGGGTTAGATGTAGGTTCAAAAATTTAGATATAGGGTCTAAAAATAAATTATAGAATGACTTGTAATATTTAATACAAATGATTCTTATTACTTATAAGAATGAGGATTGACCACTTATTTTCCTAGTTATGTTGGATTACATCAGGGATTGGCTTTACGCCCATATCTTTTAGCTTTAATTATGGATGGTCTTACTGGACATTTACAGGAGGATATACTTTGGTGTATGCTTTTTGTTGATAATATCCTTCTAGTGGATAAGACGAGAGAAAAAACTCAGGAAAAACTTGAATTATTGAGGTCTACAATGGAGTCTAAAGGCCTTCATTTGAGTAGAACTAAAACTCAATACATGAAATGTAATTTTAGTAGTAGTAGCTCTAACTTTGAGTGATCAAATTATTAAAAGATGTGAACAATTTAGATATCTCGGGTTTGTTGTTCAAAGCGATGGTGATATAGACAGGGATGTTAATAATAGAATTCAAGTTGGTTGGTTGAAGTGGAGGAATGCTTCAGGTCTTTTGTGTGATTGAAAAGTGTCGTTTAGACTGAAGGGAAAATTTTATAAGATGGTGGTGAGGCTTGCAATGCTCTACGGCGCTGAATGTTGGCCTGAATGTTGGCCTTTTAATACTAAGTTAAGTGTTGCCGAGATAATAATGATTAGGTGGATGAGTGACTTTACACTTAGAGACGAAACTTTACACTTAGAGACTTAGAGACGAAATGTGAAATGAATATATCCGTGACAGGGTTGTTGTAGCTTCTGAGATGGACAAAAGTAGAGAGTCATCTTACATGGTTTGGTCACATTAAGCGTTGATCATCTGATGATCCAATTAAGAGAGTAGATGTTTTAGATTCGACTTATGTTAAGAAAGGCAGACCTAGAAAGTGTAGACTTAGGAAGACTTTGGCTTATTGTATAAAAAATGATCTTAATTTATTAGAACTAAATGAAAATATTGCATTAAATAGAAAACAATGGAGATTAAATCGAAAACAATGGAGAAAAAATGATTCATATAACTGACACCATGTAGTCGGATTAAGGTTTTGTTGTAGTTGTTAAACATTTTTATGTCAATTTAGAGTGCATTTGGGGTAACACTGTAGTTTTTTCTATTTGTTAGAATTTTATTTTATTTGTGTTCTCAAAATAAGCAGCCGAAAATTGTGTTTTCTCACCAGCTTTGTCTACTTTCGGTCGCTGCTAAAAAGTTATGATCTGACCTTTTCAGAAAAAAAAATTTATAATTGTCACCGCAGCTTTTTAAACAACAGCTTCACAACTACTTTTTCAAAGAGCTGCAACTGCTCCAAACAGACCCTTAATTAGTCGAAGTTTGATTTTAATTTTAGCTTGGATAGAAATCAGATTGAAATAAATGAGCCAAGCTATGAGTTAAAATTTTGAATCATTTTTTTTTTTTTTGAGTAGATCTTGAGCCATTTGTGAATCAGCTCTAACCGACTCAAGATATGCTCAAATTATTATTTCATTTATAAAAATTATATATGATATTAAATAAAATTGAAAATAATGAATTAGGCGCTGATTTTGAGCTCGAACGGATCAAAATTACCTCAATTTGGGTCATTATGTTTTGATTACGAAACAAAATGGATCCAAATAACTCAAATTTAAGCCAGTCTGTTTCAATTTCAAGCTCAGTTCAATTTTGAGCTGATCTGACTCAAAATCAAACATAACGAGCCACAGATTGATTTTGATATGAATTCATTCTTTTTCCAAACATGCCCTAATACATATCGCTCAATTCTTATGTATTTACATATCAAATACTTAAACTTCAATTTTTGCATATATACTATCATGCCCATGTTTGAGCATATATATTTTGCTTATTAGACCTTAAAATAATGATATATTTTTTATGTGAATAATACATTTATGGGTATAAATGTAAAAGGTAAATATTAGGTATTAAATATATAAATATGTAAGAATTTAATGAAATGTACTTAAATGCCCCGTTTTCATTGTTTTTAATGCATTAGTAGAAACTTAATAAGAAAATAATAAATGAGAATTAATGAAGATATATAGATGATTAAAAATGACATTAATGAATAGATCTTAATTAATTATTTTCGGGTCACACAGGAACCCGACCCGCTGACCCAAATTGATACCTCTAGTTACAAAGTGTCTTATTTCAATATTATTGTTACAATTAGAGGTCAAAACTTGACCCCACAGTACCACGACTCGAACTCGACTTGAAAAATCCTGGTTAGGATTAGCCCAAATATTTTTCGAGTTGGGTTGAGGCCAGATAATTCAACCAGTTTACTATTCAGACAGGTTTAAGTTGAACCTGAAAACCAAAACATAACCAGAAAAAGCAAGAAATGTCAAGTTAGGTTTGGGTTAGCAGTTCAAGTTCGGGTTTGAGTTTTTAGTTTTAGACCTGTTTATTATTCAGGTCAGGTTCAAGTGGACTATATTCAGGTTGGGTCATTTTCAGGTCAAACCCGAACCCGACACACTGACCCGAATTGAACGACTCGAACTCGACTTGAAAAATCCTGATTAGGGTTGGCCCGAATATTTTTCGAGTTGAGTTCAGGTCAAATAATTCGACCAATTTATTATTCAGGCCGGGTTTGAGTTGAACCTGAAAACCAAAACATAACCAGAATAAGCAAGAAATGTCGGGTTAGGTTTGGGTTAGCGGTTCAAGTTCAATTTTGAGTTTTTAGTTTTCGACCCGTTTATTATTCAGGTCAGGTTCAAGTGGACTCTATTCAGGTCGGGTCATTTTCGGGTCAAACCCGAACCCGACACACTGACCCGAATTGACACCTCTAATTACAACATGTCTAATAACAAAACCTCATCAAAGAGAACTTAGCCTCATAATAAAAGGTTATGTTACTTTCATAAGACAGATCCAACTTGTCGTACCTCCAAGTGCTCCCCATAACGGTCATCTTAAGCCTTGGAAAAAACAGCAGGGTTAACTAATTGAAGAGCTTGTTGTTTAGGTAATATGTCTACATTAAGGTTTGTAAGGGTTTCTCCACCCATAATCGGTGCAAAAGAAGATTTTATGCTTTATGCACATTAATTTCATAAAACTTTCTCAAATTATAAATCATTTAAAATGTTTTTTAAATGAATATTAAAATTTATAATACCCAAAATCACTCATCCCGCGTCTCTCCCTCTTGATGTGTTGTTGTTAAATCTGAGATTGTCATATGAATCACGCCCAAGAGATCAAGATTAGCACGAGAGTGAAGAATATGAAGAGAGTGAGAGAGTGCAAAGTAGGTTAAAGCTTCCAATGATACTCATATTTATAGACAAAAGGACATACAAAAAGCATATTTACCTGATTGCCCCTGTCTTAGTGATGACGCAACTGAGTAATTTAGTCAAAAGTAAATAAATTAAGAAATACGCCTTCCACTCGGCTCTTCCTGCCGATCGGCCACATTCCAACGGCAATCTTTGGATCAACAAGAGACCACCATACAAGCTTCGCCGAGACCAAATGACCAGCAGACTGAAGCTATCTATTGATCACCACAATCTTTGATCGTCAACTTCTATGCTCTATCTATAGGTTTAGGAATAAAAATTTTAAATTTAAATTTAAATAAAGCATAGTTTATTGAAATTTATGCTAAATTATTAAATATGTCTTAAATCAAAATAAATCTATAAAACAAAGTAGTAATGAATATTTTTGTGAATTGTAGCAAGGCTTGAGCCTTATTTTGACGGCTTGCGACTGGCAGTCAGTCAACAAGCATGCGAGGCACGGCTCTCGTGTTCATTCAATCCAGTGTTAATCAGAAAACAGCAAACAGCACAAGTCGACACGTGTGTTCTGTTTTGAGCCTTTCATTACTTTATTTTAATGCGTGCCGACAAAATAAGTTCATAAAAAAAGGGGGCACGTGTGGCCGCTATTTTTGAAAAGGGG